AAGTGGTAAAAAACATAAAAATTTTCATTTTTTCATTGTAATAATTATTCTATTGGAGGTTCGTTGGTTTGCCTCATAATCGCCCACCATGGAGGTAATGTTACTCATTTTTTAAGTTGCTTCATTCCGAATAATTAGTATTTCTAGTTCTGTTGTAACCAAGTTTTTTTCAAAAAGGAAGTACCTTTCCATTTCAATTATTGGGCATCTTCTCTTTCGAATGGAAGTCATAGCATTCTGGAAATGACCTTTGATATTATGCCCCCAACTATCAACCACGAACTGCCTTCTAAAGTACTGTTCCCGTATAGAGAGGACTGGATCCTCCGGGCAGTCAAACGGTATTGAAAGCTCTTGGTTTCTACCAAGCAACATCTAAATTGGTAACAAATTGTCAAAAACGACTTTCCTCGATAGGAAGACTCAACAAATTGTCTCTGGTCTGGATTTCTGGCCATATTGGCCTGGAACACAATGAGGTTTCTGACTCCTTTTCAGAAGAGCTGCACGCAGCTTCATCGGACCAGAGCATGTCATTGGTATCGATTCAGGCTTTGCCAAACAAACATTGAACACCTGAATGACAAGAAGATTTATGGACTTCTGGCAGAATCTTCCAGGATTCGCTCACTCCAAGGGGTTCATTCACCCTTATGAGTTTGGAACCAAACGGTTTTTGGACTACAGTAGGAATGAACTACAATGTCTAACAGGCCTCCTCACAGGTCACTGTCGTTTGACAGTGTGTATCGCCTTTGTTTGGGAACTGATGAAACAGCAGAGCATATACTTTGTACCTGCTCCGCTGCGGACCGAATAAGATTTTCAGAGTTTGGTAGAACCGAACCATCTGAACTGAATGATCACTCATCATAGAAACTAATCGGCTTCGTCAAGAAGCTGAGTTTCTTTGGTCGAGTTTGAATAGGTGTCAGTCACAATAAACTTTGCGGACAGTCAAACGGCGTTGGCTCCTACCAAGCAACGTCTAAATTGGTAGTAAATTGAGAAAAACGACTCTTCCTGATAAAAAGATTGTCTCTGGTATGGATTTCTAGCCATACTGGCCTGGAACACAATGAGGTTGCTGACTCCCTTTCAAAAGAAGGTGCTGCACGCAGCTTTATCGGACCAGAGCCTGTCATTGGCATCGCTTTATGCTTTGCCAAATAAAGATTGAACACCTGGATGGCAAGAAGATTTATGGACTCCTGACAGAATATTTCAGGATTGGCTCACTTCAAGGCGGTTATTCACCATTCGAAGCTTGATACCAAATATTTGTTGGACTACAGTAGGGATGAACTACGATGTCTAACAGGCCTTCTTCTTACAGGTCACTGTCGATTGAATCATCAAATGCAGAGACTTGGACTGTCGGAAGACAGTGTGTATCGCCTTCTTTTGAAAAATGATGAAATAGCAGAGCCCATACTTTGTGCCTGCTTCGCTGCGGACCGAATCAGGTTTTCAGAGTTTGACAGAGCTGCACTCTTACCATCGGACCTCACCATATAAACCATATAAACTTCGTTGAGAAGCTGGCTTCTTAACGTGAGTGTTTTCAATTTCATTGTCATTGCTAGGTCTTACTTCCTTTTTATTTTTAGAGCTTTCATTTTGAAAGTCTTTTTTCATAACAATCATTTGCTTATGTCCATATGAGATACACTTATAACACCTAGGTCCTTCATTTTTAAACCTTTTGTCTTTACACCGCCTTAGAACCATAAAACGCATTTTCGCTTTCAGTGTTCGAACTTTTAACATCATTATTGGAACAAAGTTGTGGCAAAACTCTGTTTTAATAGTGTCTCCTGTGATAGTTACACTCGAAATTTCGATGCCCACCATAATCCGCCCATATTCTTCTGATGAACCTGCCAACAAAAGAGTTTCTATTCATTCTTCATATATATTGAAACCTATCAATTCATTGATTTAGTTTTAGGATGGTGTTGAATTTAACAAAATTGAAACGTTACCAGATATGTGATCAGATTTTATATTCATGCGATTTCGATTTATATCTTTCAATGTTTTTATGTATTATTCTTATTGATGTTTAACTATAATTCAACTTTATTTTAGGTTGCTTCAAGGGCAAATATTAAATGTCATTCATTTAAATTCGCTGCTCCGGTTATTCAAGTAGAGACAATTCGATGTTTTTAACAGATGATTTCTTTCCACATTGTTTTCTCATCAAACTAAAATTATAGAATGAAAGTCTGTAATATATAAAGTGAAATACATTGCAATAGCAAGTGATTTTCACATCTAAATTTGATGAAACAAGTCTGAGAACGAAACATTTATGGAGCAGCGCGATAATCTCAAAACTGTATTCTAACATTATTTAATCAGGCGTGACCGACCTAATCGCAAGCGTTATTCATTCTCTTAAGTCATTCAAATCTGCCGGACAATAACTCGGTAATGTGGTGGTGCTTCATACTGGAAAATATGAATATGAAGCAAAATATTGCTTCATATTCCTGGAACTTGAGGGGTTCCTGGATAAGGATATAAATTAGCCAAACTTGGAATGACATCATTTTGAAGTAGTGCCAAATAATTATCGCCATTCAAGTTGTCCTCAATAAAGAAGGGATCAATAATATCCTTTCCCGCAACCCCTGCCCAAACATTAACCTTTTGAGGGTATTGCTTGTCTTCTTCTCTCATCCAGTGAGGATTTTTCGTTGACCAGTAGCGGCAATTTTGCCGATTAGCATTACCGTTAAGAGACAAAGTGCACTCATGAGAAAACATAACGTCTTCTAATTGGATGATATTGTTATCCAACATGTCCATCATTTGCTCACAAAAAATAAGTTCTTCTATCAAAATCGTCTTCCATGAGCTCCTGAGTAGGTATCATTTTATAGGGATGCATTTTATTTTCTTTTAATACGTTTACTATCGATGTATAGCTAACATTGAATGTAGTGAATGGCTGTCTACTCGATGTTTGTGGGTTTTCCTCAAACTCAAGCATCACTTCTCATTTGAGTTTATCACTCATTACATTGGCAGCTACTATTTTTATCTGCCCCACATGACCAAGCTCGCGAGCTGTTTTTCTGTTTTGCTTATTGTTACTTGAGATATGGGCGGTAAATTAGAAAATTTCTCATGAAATAGGCGAGCTACTTCCTGTGTTCGGGTTTTATCTTCCGTTAATCTGTTTATACTTCCGTTAATCTGCTCATTTGTTAGACTTGAAGTTAACGAACTTTAAACCTTGATTAAAATACTGACAACATACAAACATACAAAACATACAAAACAAGTTGACAAGACGTTTTAAAATAACGTTTTCACGAATATTATTTAGTTTTTTTAAAGGATTCCATCTAGAAAGGACATTGCTATGGTTATTGCCCACTTTCTCATTATCAATACCTCAACATGCAATAAGTTTTGAGTGTATTTTATGGAATTTATTTTATTTATTTTATCTCAATTGTTGCAATAAACTTGGAAGGCGATACCATTTTTGAATAGAGAATGAAGAGACCTTTCAAACGATATATCACAAACCTATATCTCCTTTTAAGAAATTGGGGGTTGTATCTGTCACTCGACGGTGGTTGAAGGTAGGGATAGCATTTTTCCGTTGAAATATATCAAATTATAATTTAAATTCGACGTGTTTTGGGATTTTGTTAAAATATGCACCGTAACCGAAATAATGAATTTATTCCATTCGGCTTTTACACACTGTATGTTGACCTAAAAAATGAGAGTTTTGCTAACATCTGTCAGATATATGTAATTGTGACATAGAGAATCAGAAAGTCTCTCACATCTTTTATTCAATTGTTAATCATCTCCTGAAAAAAATTACGCTGGCCGCCGCTGGTCGTGTCAATCGATTGTGACTTGGCCAAGATATGTAAATGTTTTAGTGCTATAACTAAATATATGTGTCTATAGTTCCCCAAAAATCTTTTAGATATCTGATGGGGCAACAGAATTCTCTTTCTCCAAGTCTACATGTATCAATCACCGATACGGAAATCTGCTATTATTGATAATTGAATGAATTGAAGAAAACTGTCGTTCACAAACAATGTTGCAATGTTCTTACACAAATCGAGCTGAGCGATGTTCACTTTCAAATCCATCCCTTCATATTATAAAATAAATTGGTACCAACATTCGTTAATTTTTTCAGAAATCGTTTAATTATGGAATGGAATGAATATTCGAAGAATTTGGGGATCCCTTGTTCCGATAATTTTTCTTTAGTGATAACAATGGGGGAGCCAGTTGTCATAAGAGCCTGGAATATTGCTGGTTTACCGGTTGACAAATATAGTGTTGAAAATGGCATCATATCAACTACAGCAAGAAGGTGGCCTCTTATGATCGACCCTCAAGGTATGTATAGGAGCCGTTGGTTTTAGGAGCCGTTGGTTTTATTCTTTTACCAGTAATCAACTCCGATTTTTCATTATTGCTCCAAAAAAATCGGCGATAAGACGATAACTGTTTTCTTCGCAAAAAATTATAAAAAAGCATAGAAAAAATGATTCTGGTTGGCATTTATGCGATATCAATGTATAACATGTAAATGAAGCCAGTTCAAACTGTAAGTTCTGATAGAATATAACGTTTCTAAGTGGATCCATACTATTGAAAAAACATTTTCTGAAAATTATATTTAACGAGTGAAACCTGTTTTGAAAATGGTTAGGTAGTTTTTGAGTTCATCATTTTCTAATTAACTTACCAATTATGTTTGAAGAAAACCTGAGGTATTTTCTTCATTCTACATATGGAAATATCTATTATTTAATGATTATGGAATGGGACCCAAGAAAGCCCTTATTCATGAAACATCTTTCTGGAATCATTGCGTTTATTCGAATGTAATTGGGTCGATTTTCATTACTACTGCTTGAGAGCCGCCTGTCTTTTCGTTTGTCACCTTTTTTCTCTTCCGGATTTTTACTTTTGAATCACGTTAGAGGCATTCATAGCAAATCACTTTGTGGCGTGGTCAGCGATTTGATCTCCACAAAATTCATTTGAGAAATTAGGAAGCAATGGAAATTGATAAACTTAGAAATTGAAACATTCTGATGAATGATCAACTGGATTTGAATAGATCACCATTGTTGTTCTTGTTTTCTTGAAAAACCGATGAAGTATTATTTTTGATGTAGGAGTGAAGTAGAAGTTTCAAATCTACCGAATATAGTGCTTCTTCCGGTGTTCCAGAAGGGCCAAATCTGGGACCGCTGTTCTTCAATATCTTCATTAACGATATTGCAGATGTTATAGATGTATATTTCCTTCTGTTCCTTCTGTATGCTGATGATCTAAGACTATACTGCCTCGTTGAGAACATATATGATTGTGTGAACCTCTCAGCAATCTTAGGTCGGGTTGTAGAATGGAGTTATCGAAATAACTTCTCGCTAAATTCGGATAAATGTGAGGTCATGTTCTACAGTTTGAAAACGAACATTTTGATCTTTGATTATTCAATAGAAAACGTTTTCCTTGTGAGACCAGAAACATCTTGGCGTCACATTTGACACTGCACTATCATTTAATAGTCATATCGATAATATTGTTACCTCCTCCTGTCGTTTATACGGATTAATTACACGTAACAGTAGTGATTTCGAAGAAACTTCGACCTTCAAAACTCTATTCTATGCTTTCATTAGATCAAAGTTAGAATACGCGTCAGTTGTGTGGAGCCCCTTTTATCAATATCATATACATAGAAGAGAAGCAATTCAACGACGATTTTTGAAACTGCTAAGCCTAAAAACTGATGGCATTTATCCGCCAATAGGAACAACCCACTCTGAATTGCTACAAAAGCATAACTTTTTCAGTTTCGAAAAAAGGCATGAATATTATAGTGTTGTACTAACCTATAAAATTATCAAAAGCATAGTTGACTTCCCAACATTACTGGAAAAGTTTATTATTTGCATTCCTAGAATCTGTTCCAGACACCCAAGTACTTTATATAACATCTTTCTATAACATCTATAAACATCTCGCATAAATGTTCTGGCGAGAGTTGGCCATTTTTCGCCCGATGCATGATGGGTTTCCATATGTTGCGTATATCTACGCTGGCTTGGCTGAATACGTTGTTGGACAACATGTATGCGGCTTCCTTGAATGTTCGCATTGCCGAGCACAAGAAACACACACAGCGAGGTGAAACCAGCAAATCAGGAATAGCAGACCATGTTTGGATCCATCAACACAACAGCGAGTGGTCCCAACCTGAGATCTTACACAGAGAGGAACATTGGTTTATGAGAAAAAATACTTCTTTGCATGATCTACACATCTTTGTGAAGAGATCATTGTCAAATGATTTGCTTTCTCACATTTTCTAGTATAAATATGGAGAAGTAGAAAACCAGAATCTTTCTTTCCCAAAGATTATTATTATTATTGAAGCAAAATTTTTGAATATTACCGAAATACAATTTTTTTAGTAATGTACTCTGATGAAGGTCTCTGTTGAAAAACTGATATTGAGATGTTGAAAAAGAGAATCCGATCAATTTTAGACCTACTAATTGGGATTTGAAATTTCTCAAATATATTATTTGATGTTCAATATACTGAAATATACAACATTCATTTTCAATTCAAATTGTCATTTCATGAAATTTGTTCAAATCTAGAAATTCAAATCAATGAGAATGAAAACACACTTTCTTTGTCCAATAAATGTAAATTTTTGGGACTCACGCTATACAGGGTGTCCCTGGACTTCCTCTTTTCCTCTCGGGAATGTATAGATGGGGTCAAAATATCACCAGTACTTCATATAACTTTTTTTCCTAAAATCCTTCGTTACCAAGTAACGGAAACATCTAGCCAGCTGGAATTTCGGAAATGGTTTCGAAGATCCTCCCATTCAACTGATCTGTAATGCTAGACTTTGCGCGGCTTGATTGTTCCCCAACAATTATCGGTAATTCACTCAAAACTGAAATGAGTTTGTGGTCTGAAGATCCCAATGGAGACCTTACGGTGACTTTGTAAATTTCTGGATTGATTGATAGGTATAGATCCAGAAGACTAGCATATTCTCTATAAAGTCAGGAATCCTAGTTGGCTCATTTATAATCTGAGCGAGTCCGCGCTTTTTGCAAAAGCCTCAGCTTCGCGACCATGTTCGTCGTTGTTGTTCGAAAATTTGAGCCATTCCATATTGTGGACATCGAAGTCACCGTGAATGTGAAGAATGTGAAATGTGAAAAAAATTGTTCCCTTTATTGTGTATTGCTAGGTGGTCGATAAACGAACGCAACATATCAATTTGGTGATCTTCTGTGATATTATTTTGAACCACATAACATCAATGTTTCGGGGTTCCAGCGTTTCCTCTCGTTGACAGAAGATATCGCTGATAAAAAGAGATATTCCAAAGTTACGCCTGAATCGGGAGTGGAAATCATAGCTGGGATACAGAACATTGACGGGGTTTGTTGAAGCACTGACTTTGTTTTCTGTGAGTGCAAGAATATGAGGACTGTTTGATTGCAGATGTTGGTGCACTCAGTTTATATTTGAGTTGAGTCCTCTGATGTTGCAGAAATCGATTTTGGAGTTGCTAGTGGGTCTCTTAGCAACTGAAGTGACCGTGCTGTTTACCTGTAGGCTGATGTTGGTAAATCTCTGCTGATTGCAAGATGATGCCCTTGAATCAACTCCCACTCGTAGATCCGATTGGGGAGTTATTTTATCTCTGGAGTATTTTGACCTTAGGAGCGCCAGCATGCATTTTCCGTATATTCCTACCCTTGAAACAGAAAACGGCGACACAGAAATTGAATGTGAGCAAAGCAATTCCACGCTGCCTAAGCCGTTGCCATGGTATATTACCGGACGATGCCGGGTGGGACCAGCATATGACAAATATTTATTCGAGCGTTCCCAAGTGATGTAGTTCTGTATTTTTTTCGACCAGTGCTTCCATAATTTTTGTAGTACTATGTCAGCCAAAAAATCTGAATTGGGCAAGAGAGCACCGTACGTAGCTATTAAAACCTTTGTTTTGAAGATGTGCATATCTTAGTCTGAACGGTTTTTTGAGAGTATGAAGTATTGAAATGAAGGTGATACTTGATATTACCTTCATTGATTATATCTATATTGTCATCATTTCTAAGATGTTTCACTTTCATTGAACCAAAAGTTATTTTGTGTGAAGGATGTCGAAGTTTCTCATCGATCTTTTGGGTGGAAAAAATATAATGTGTAACACTTCATACAAGTGAAGAAATGGCTTCTTTTTCATTCTGACTTTGCTGATGATATATAAATCTGAGAAATTGTCATTTCAATTCTATGAATTATGAACTTTTCGTAGGTTTCTGACAAACTTCAAGCTCTGAATGATGAGTTTGCTGCCGAAACAAAAAAGAAAAAAGACCTCGAAGATCAAATAAATGTATGTTCTCAGAAGTTAGATAGAGCAGAGAAGTTGATTGGAGGACTTGGAGGTGAGAAAGCGCGGTGGTCCGATACAGCAAAGCAATTGGATAGTTTGCTGGGTAATGTAATTGGGGATGTCCTGCTTTCCGCTGGAACTATCGCCTATTTAGGCCCATTCACAGTGAATTATAGGTAAATTGTAGTATTCTCCTAACGAAAATCTGTGATGATACAGTTCACTTTGAATATTTCATCAAACGACTTTATGAAACACAGAGTTTTCTGAAAAAAGCAATAGTAAAATAGGTAGAGATTATTTGAGAAAACTGTGCGGCTTAAAAGAAAAATCTGGAAGACAGTTTCTGTTGGTGTTTCAGCATATTAACTGCATGCTAATTATATCTGTGAGATTCTGTGAAATATTATTTTATATCTACAGAGTAGGGCAGTTATGAAGCAAATCAATATTAAAATTCGTAGTGGGATCATTTCGTGACTAACTTCTGAGGTTGTTTCTGACAAAATATCTATATTTTTTATAATTTCTTAATGAATCCTACACAACGTAAAAAAAATATTATAATTGTGTCGATTTTTGAGTAATATCAATTGGTTACGAGTAATATGCGACAACTTTATTGGAAAACTGAAAATATGACTTATACTCTGTAATAATTATGAATTGATGGATGTAGCCGTTAACTACGTGGTAGGAGATCATAATGATAAAATGAAAATTTCTATGTTTTTACCACTTTTATGTGTAACTAACGTTACTGCATACGGACATTCTCAAACTTATACAATATATATGTATAAGTTTGAGAATTTCCATCTAAGACAAAACTGCAGTAACGTTAGTTACAAATGAAAGTGGTAAAAAACATAAAAATTTTCATTTCTTCATTGTAATAATTATTCTATTGGAGGTTCGTTGGTTTGCCTCATATCCGCCC